TGTACCACATGCTCAGCTACTCGCCTCGCTCCCCGAGACCGCTCTCCGCTGCTATGCCGACGGTCCCCAAAACCTGCGTCATCTCGTTCGTGAGCTGTGCGATGCTTGGCCCTTCGAAACGGATGGATCTGCCTAATGCCCTGTTCAGTTGACCGCGGCAGATCTCACACGCGATGAAGACGAATACCCCGCTTTCATGCACTACCAGAAACGTAGGGACGAATTTCGATGCCGTATCCAGTGCGATCCTGATGGGTGGATGCCGAAGGAGCATGTAGATGCGATGCGGCGTAACTGGGTCACTGCGCGCCGAGAGTGGGATGAGGAGGGGACAACTCCGTTTCCGTTCCAGGACGGAATGTGGTCTTTCCATCTTACCTGACGGCATCATGACAAGCGATACAGCCCACGATCAACGTCGACACCCATGCACCCATTGGCATCCGCCATTCCCAATGCAGAGGTGTATCGTTCGACGGCAGCCTGTGTCTCAGTCATCGTAATAATGTACATTGGCAAGCCAGGATTTCCAGTCAGATATCGCTCAATCCAGGTCAAATATCGAAACGTCCGAAGTGCTCCTTCTCGTCGTGGTCGCTCTTTACTTCCCACTCTATAAGGGCCACACCCCCACGAAGACTCGTCGCCGCCGCCGCCACGAAATCGGGAACGTCGTCCGCCCGGCTGGATTTGGCTTTGTTGTACGAGTCCGTGGCGACAAAAGGAACAGCGAAATGTCGCTTAGCCGTAGGACATATTGGACCGCGAGTGAAACCCGTTAAATGGTTATGTAATTGACGGAATTGAGATCGGGCAAAGGCTCTTACCTGACTGTCGACTTCCATCCTTCGATTTATCACTTCATATCGTTTTCGTCACAAGTGAACATTTCTTTTCATACCCATGGCATATGAATGCTGACAGGCGCCAGGATGCCCTACAGGATCACATACCATTCTCCACGCACAAAATGAAGGCCCTGGAGATACCAAACCCGGAGAACTACGCTGCTCGAGTTCGCCATCAATGTCTGGCTTTGCGACCAGAACAAGATGGATGTCTTGGCCGCTTACATTCGGTGGGACGACCAGCCTGGCATCATGCTCGTGTCTAGCTTTCAGGTGCGCTTGAAGTTGCCAATGCGTCAAGGTGGCAAAATTAACGGACGCCATTTTTAACTACGATCCCAGTCCTTTGGAGGAGACCGAGAAGGACCGGGCTATCGTCAAGCAGTGGCTGATGGAATGACGCAGGAGTGACAGACTAAGGATTCAAGTGGATTACGTTGGTGGATAACCAAAAGATCACCCTCAATGGGATAAGGCCGACGAAGGTTACTATTAGGAATCGACCAAGACGCCGGCTGAGATTTTGAAGGAGATGGAAGTGGCGGCAGAGGCCAACTTGACGAAGTATGGCCTGACACTTGCGGACAAGAAAGTTCTTTAATGCAATGGTTTGATGTGACTGTTTATTTAAACACGAAGTAACCGCTAGCACTCATCTGTCGAACTGAGGAGCTGTTCTCAAACGAAGTGGGCAGCAAAATTTGGTTACATCTTTAACAAAAAGCGACATGAGGACTATACATGCTACGGAATCCCTGCAGAAATGAATAAACCACAAAAGTGAAATCAATGAATCTATACGAGAACCTAAAATGTCAGTGCCTGAGAAGTCTGGAATCTCACAGGTATATGACCTGGGTTGTGCGATACTTGGGCCCTTTGACATGCATCACCCCGACAAATGTAAAAATTTCGGAGAGTTTCTGACGGCCAGAAACTCGTTTGGAATCCGGCGGGCATTGTCATTGCTGTTGAGTTCAGCTTTAGTTTCTGAACTCTCCAGAAATTTTACTTTTTTCGGAGTGATATGAATAAGTATGCACTCTCCAGGACCAATGAATCGCTGGCGCCATTCGGGTGCGAGACTCGTAGGTTGTGTGCTATATCACGGTTTGGGGTCAAGACTTGAACAGAGGACTGTCAAGAGAGGTATTATTGTTGGCCGACTAGCTCAGTTGGTTAGAGCGTTGTGCTAATAACACGAAGGTCTTGGGTTCGATCCCCATGTTGGCCAGTGATGCAATGATGATAATGAATATCTTTTTTCAAACTTTTTGCTTGAACTTAGGTTCAAACTTCAAAGTTTGGCACGTTAATCATTAATGGAAGGGCGTCCACGATTCAATGGCTTTCGATAATTGAGTCAATTTCACTTGGAGAGATTTCCACACAATGGTTCAACGGTTGCACAACAAGACGGATTGAAAATGTTGAGAATTGCGTTGATTTGAAACGACACTAGCTCGGCTGTCTCAAAAGTTTTCCACCACGCTACCATTCATAGCTTCTACAGAAACACAAAACGTATGTCTGCCGTCTCACATACACTCCGTGTTCATCGAATACTTAAGTACTTAGTTCTGACTCGAACCGGTCATATAGTTTTAGTCGAGAATAGAACTGGTCCACCTTTCATTGTGGTACCGCGCCAGCTACTTCGTCCTTACCTTATGTGAACGCCCTTCAATGTTGCGACGCCCTACTTGAAGCCAGCATGTACCGGAGCAGCCTTAGATTGTGCGACGACTCTTTCTGTGCAGCCGGAGTGAATGCGTTCTGGTTCCTTTCGAGCGAGATTCGTGCATTTGCAGTCAGGGCTCCTCAGTGAACGAGTACACTCCCGTTCCGAGGTACGAAACGAAACTGGGGCCTATGATGCGGGAAGGGACTACTCTGCCAAGTCTGCGCTGAACGGACGTCGAGGTGACGGCCAAGTTTTGGAACATTGAAGCTGAAGGCCTAGTACACGGGCAATGGGGACGGGCAAAGGGGGAGGTACTTGTACTAGAGGAGAGGTCGGAGACGGTTTGCATGACGTGTGGTAGGGAGGGCAAGACGGTGATTATGGGTCTGTTATGTGCGAGACATGCGCGAGGGAGAGTTCAAGTTGCTGACGGATGCGCAGAAGGGGTTGGCGGAGTGGCGTGCGAGGGACAAGCGGCGAGCAAACTTGAACATGGTTCGCTGCGTTGACAGGGCAGCGACGTTGTATTACAAAGACGGCGTGATAATTCTCGATGGTCCAGAGTTCCAGATACAAAGGACCCTGCTGACACCCGTGGCATCCATAAATCTTTTCAGCTCGTAGCTCGGTCTGATTCTCTCCTCCAACCTGCACGAATCCTTGTTGCTGGCGTCTTTGAGCGCGCCTAGATACGAGAGACGTTGCTCGCATAGAACGGCGTACGCGTGGTTCTCCAAGTCAGGCCCTGGGACAAAGAAGGTCTCGTCCAGCGTCAAGCATTTGAAGCGCGTTTTACGGGTTGGGATTATGAACAACAACATGCTTTGCCAATTGACTGTCAGAGGAAGCAGACACTGTGCAGTTGGGGCGTCGGGCTTCGGGCTGTTCATCGGATGCATAGGGGACGCGTCAGTCACAGTCGGGTCGGTGATTTCGGCTAATTCCGTCCAATATTTCCCTCTCACCATGATCATCCCTCCCAGGCAACAGTGTATCAACCTCTCGACGGCGCATTGCTACCTCGTTCCTAACTGGGCTTGATATGGAGATTTCTCACTGGGTACAAGAGCTGGGCCTTTCGCTCTAGTCCACTCAGCGACCGCCGACGTCTGAGCGTTCATCCCAGCACATCTGCCTCACCTACAGGCGCCTGGGTATCACCAGGTTATCATCGAATCCTCCAAGAGACGACAGTACGCGTCAAGGTTGACATGAAAGGGGCGACGGAGATCGGCACACGACGATGAATAGACATGGATTTTGTATGGGTGCGTTTCTGCAGTTGTTCTGCAGTGCTGTTTTCCACGTATCTAATATCTCCACAGCATCATATTAGTATCTCGTCTGCCGCCCTTCAAATTCCTTCCTCGCGCATCCATCGACATCAAGGAGAACAGCCGTCCCGCCACATACTCTCGCCGACTTCATTTCTGAATATCCCGATCTGCCATATCCGACCGATAAGCTATTCTGTTCGGCGCAGCTTGGCAGAAGTATGGCGGCAAGCTAGAAATTGTCGTGGTTGAAGGTGCGTGCACAACGTTTGTGGAACAAGCATGGTCTGACTGAGCTAAGCAGCACGGACGCGGTTAAGGGCAGTGTGGACGACCCATAAAGCACGTATCACTCCCTATTGATGTGTGTGGGTGTCTAATGATATACGGCAAATTTCAGGAAGCCCCATTCAGATCATGCTGAAAAGGCAAAGCCGTTCGTGCGGCCTTTAGCTTCACCATTCTGGAGCCAGCCAGGGGCGAATCGGGGACCTCTTTCCCAGCTCCGTCGTAGGAACGACTCGTGTCATGGTCCAGTGTGGAGATGGGAGACGAGGAAATCAGCGGAATGGTTGCGACTTTGTAACAGCCATCTGTGCACATACATCAACAAATGCATCCAGGCAACATGATTCCAGAAGAATATAGCCCGCGTGAACCTCTCAGACTCACCGCTTTCGAAATTCCAGACTTGACTAGTGACTGGGAAGGAGTATAGTGCCAAGGATGACTGGCGCACTCGTCCGAATGAACTCATCCTCTACATTAAAGACTTTCGGCGACGGGTGTTTCCGCCTCCTTGGAAGGAACTATGACCCACACCTCTTGGGATAGTCTAGCGACGCGTTACTACTACGTCGAGAGAAAAGATACAGCGTGGTGTACGGTCTTGTCTATCCTTTATCGCTCTGCAACTCGAGCATGTATAAAGAACGTTTATGATGGAGTATCTTCCGTTCTGTCCTCTGCCCTTTAGTAGCCGGTACATATAATCGGTGGGAATCTGCTTGCAGGCCGTGCGACATTTTTTTTAGCAACAACAAACGGCGACAAGCAGCAACCACTGGAAAGTCCAAACTGGATGAACTGCCACGGACTTATCGAGTTGAGGTCTTTCCAAGTCCCGACTCTTGGCTTTTGAGTGTTGACATAGGGATGAATAACAAAAAAAAGTTGACCTTTCGTTATCATTTATGGCTCATATGGGAAGCGAACCCAAAACGTTCGTGTTATGAGCACGAGGCTCCAACGGACTGAACTAGTCAGCCAATAAGTTATATTTCTCCGGGGCATACCTCTTTCATCTGCCGGGCTTACTCCTTCAAATACTGAATAGAATATCAACATGAGGGCAATGGGTTCGGTCTCCCGTTTGGTTATTTTCGAAGTTTTGAAGGCATTTTGTTTTTGAGACATCCCTTCGTAAAGACTCAGCCTCCGGGGCGCAGTAACATGCCCGTCTGCATATGATGCAGCGAAGCGGAGCGTCATTAGGAGTGCTCTCACGCTGCTCCTTTCGAGCGAAGTTCATTTCCAGCACTATGAAGCCGGAGTCATGGTAGACAAGTTCAAAGCCATTGTCCGATCCAAAGCGAGTTCACGGCGATACACCAATCTCACCGCCTGAGTTGCGACATCAGCGAGTACCCCGCCCTTTTCGCCAGGTTCGAGATACAATCATGTCCGAAAGGATGGGACAGCCTCTTCCGCCAAGTCTGAAGGAAACGGACGTTGTGTTCTCCAAGTAGAAGGTGTGTAGCCGTATTCACATCCTCTTTGCTGCCTGTTCGATAGAGCTCAAGCTGGCCCGAAGAGTTCAGTATCCCGGTAGGACGAAGAAACTACCTGAATCTCGCGCCCAGAGCTAGGAAGAGCAACATGGAAGGGTCTCGGCTAACTCCGACACGCCTCTGACGTTATTGACATTTTTCTTTTTCACCGCTACTTACCACTTCCTAGCCCTCGACTGCTGCTGAGAGCGATTCGTAATCAAGCCGAACACAGATGGCGAGGCGAGGTTTCTTCAAGGGGCGTATTCATTGTCCAGGGGCGTCGCAACCATCGACAAGGCAGGGGTAGGTTGAGTGAGGTGTGTTATCTGTCGCGCCAAGGAATATCGTCATCTAACTGGACAATAGCATGCAAATTTCCGAGGTGTTAACGGTCTCCTTCACGGCATGGACGGTCAAGGCATTGAGCTAGAGCAATAGCTAGGGCACTCTACTCCATCGATAATCATTGGCTGGCAAAGTGAAGAATATGGGATGAAGTTGCCAACGTATCAGGGCGCACTAGTATGCACCTTTCTACTATGGTCCCACCTCTTCCTGATGACTTCACAGGCACCGAATTTGCTATGTAATCAACACTTTAGAAATCTGTGCGCTAGTCATGGTCAGCGCCTGCAATCAATGATTCATGAAGCGCCACGGACCGGGGCGTCCGGGGTCATCTCTTCTCCGGTTGCACCCTAACATAAATCCCGGGATTGGACGGTCTTCGTGAATTCAGTTCTGCGATAACAGTCAAACGGAATAGCCAGACTAGTCGACCTCGTTGACTGACTTCCCTTGTACAAAGTTGACACCATCTTCTACCGTCGCTGACCGTCTCTTAATCAGCACGTCCTTGGAGGGTCACATCGGAACAGGCAAACCATTATCCGGGTTGATGGCAATTCGAATGGATCAATAAGCATTCATATTCCGTTACCGCTCTTATTCAGCCTCTCGACGCTATAAAAGCTGCCGTTGCCGCTCTTATTCCCTTCACACAACGACAATGGCGGACTCAAAGCTCTTTCAGCCTATCAAAATCGGCGATATCACTCTAAACCACCGCATCGTCCTGGCACCTTTGACGCGATACAAGTCGACGGAGAAAGGACATGTTCCGTATACGTCACTCATGAAGGACTACTATTCGCAGAGAGGCAGCGATCCTGGCACCCTTTTGATCACGGAGGCTACGTTTATCGCACAGAAAGCCGGGGGGTACAAGAACGTCCCAGGCTTATGGACACAGGAGCAACTAGACGCGTGGAAAGAGGTATGCCGCAGTTCCCATCTCTTAAGCTTTTCTCATCGCCAACCAGGTAACCGACGCCGTCCACGCCAAAGGCAGCTTCATCTTCGCACAACTTTGGGCAATTGGACGTGCCGCCGAGCTTTCCGACCTCAAAGACGAGGACCCTTCCCTCGAATTCGTCGCGCCCTCCGCTATCAAACTCTCCCAATCCTCTGAGTCGCCCCGCCCGCTCACTCTAGACGAAATCCGCGAGTACCCCAAGCTCTACGCCCAAGCAGCTGCCAATGCGGTGTTCAAAGCGGGTTTCGACGGCGTCGAGATCCATGGTGCGAATGGGTACCTCATCGACCAGTTCCTCCAGGACGTGACCAACACGCGTACGGACGCGTATGGGGGGAGCATCGCGAACCGGGCGCGCTTCGCACTCGAAGTGATCGATGCGGTCGCCGACGCCGTGGGCGCGCATCGTACCGGTCTCCGCATGAGCCCCTGGTCGACATTCCAGGAGATGCGCATGGAGGACCCCGTCCCGACGTTCTCGTACCTCGTGACGAAGATCGGGCAGCGCCATCCGGACTTGGCGTACCTACACGTTGTGGAGCCGAGGGTGTCTGGGTCCGTGACGAGGGACGATGTGGGTGCGCATGAGTCGAATGATTTTATAAGGGAGCTGTGGGCGCCAAGGCCGTTGATATCTGCTGGAGGATATACGAGGGAGTTGGCGATGCAGGTGGCGGATGAGAAGGGGGATCTCGTTGCGTTTGGGAGGCATTTCATTTCGAATGTGAGTTGAGCTTTCGTTTTGTTTTGTTGGGATTGGGGCTGATGTGTTGTTGTGATAGCCTGATCTTCCGAAGAAGTTGAAGAAGGATTTACCGTTTACGCCGTACAATAGGCCGACGTTTTATCTCCGTGGGGAGGTCGCTGAGGGATATACAGACTACCCTTTTGCTGCTGAGTAGAGATGTGTTTCTATCATAGATAGGATGTGGGCGTTTTTATAGGCTTTGGCACATATATTGAAAATAATAATTCATTGATACGTACGAATTATGAACGAGTACACTCGGGAGGCTACCTCTATGTCGGCCGACTAGCTCAGTTGGTTAGAGCGTCGTGCTAATAACGCGAAGGTCTTGGGTTCGATCCCCATGTTGGCCATGGCTGTAGTATATTGTGTTTTTGTCTCAAGTTTGTCCGTTGTCATTCATTGAGTCTTAACTTTTAAGTCCCAAGTTTCAAGTTTCAAACTCTCGGGTTGACGGCTGAAGCTGAACAGTCAATACTTAGCAGTCAGTAGTACTCCATTGATTTAACACTTGGAGTTGAACCCAATCCTGGTGGGATGAAGACTCAGTATGTCAACTTTTCTATTGGCCTCATTGCGCCACCTCTTTCTTCCTTGTCATGGCAAGACACACGATCATGCCCTTTACAATGCATTACCATTGGCTGTACCAGAAATCATTAACACGCTTTTTCAAACTATATACACATTGCTCTAGGTAATAGTAGTACATATCACTAGTGTCCCAGCGGCTTGGCTTCATCGACTTCGGGATCGGCTGACACCTTCCCTTTGATGATAGCCTCTCCATCTGTGATGGAAAGATATAAATAATAGAAAGCAACTGCCAGTGAAGGACAAGACCGACCGGGTTGACTGCTATGTATGGATCACTCGTAAGTCTTTGAAAAAGGACCTCATTCACTGTTTCGAAAGCGTCGAGTCTGATGGATTCGCTTGGTCTATTCTTCCGGCTTTTCATATTGACGTACAAGATTCGCATCGCGCGCAAGGACACCCTTTTCACCCATTTCTCCTCATCGCCCATCCGATCCGTGCTGGATGTCGATCTTGATTAACGGATGAGTCCGACTGGGAAGGAGACTTGTCGAAGCGTTCATAGGTGGCTGGTTGGTCGCGAGTCTCGAATTCGTCGTGGGGTGACTTCAGAATGGTGCTTCGGGCTAGGAGCCCCGCCAAATGACGTTCCCTTCTATGCTGGAATTAAACCGTCTCTCTAGTTCTGCATTTACCATCAGATGCCTTCACAGTTTGATACGGAACAGTACGCACTTTATGAGTCGTCCATTACACAAGCAAACTATGACCTTCGTAGCTTCGTCGACACGCGGTCTTGTGCCCTCAACCAGACCTTGCTGGTTCTGCATCTGTCTTTTCGCCGCATAACTTGAAGGTTTTCCCTTTCGTTATAAGCTACGAGGTGTTTACGGATCAGGAGACCAGACGCATTCGGAAGAGAAGTATGGAGGTCCGGGATAATTTGGCTCTTCTCCTTGAGGAGAACGCGAAGAAAAGAAGAAGGAGTTCCAGGAAAAGTAGGATGCTGTAGAAATATGAGATCCTTGGAAAATAGAATTGCAGAAACCGCACCTATACAAAATTCACATCTATTCACCGTAGCCAATATTCTTCGGTGTGTGTCAACCTTGACGCGGTGCTGTCGTCTCTTGGAGTATGATCGATGACAGCCTGGCGATGCCTAGACGATGGACGTGCCTCACTGTCTGGGGCCTGGGCGAGGTAGAGGAGCTGGGATAAACGCTCGGACGACGCCGAGTACGCTAGAGCGAAAGGCTCACCTCTTGCGCCCACTGAGAATTGTCCATATCAAGCCCAGTTAAAAACGAGCTAGCAATGCGCCGCCGAGAGGTTGATACACTGTTGCATGGGAGGGATGATCATGGGTAAGAGGGAAAGATTATTCGGAATTAGCCGAGATCACCACGACTAGTCATTGGGCGAACTTGAGTCGAAGCAGGATTTCCAAAAAGGAACACGTGGCACGTAATCGAATGGATCCTCATAAATCAAAATAATAGTTTATTTATTGTAAAATCAAACGACAATACTTTGGACTTCTCCTTAGTTCTCCTTCCAAGGTCCCGCCGAGAGTAGGAACTTTTCCGTATCTGCGCGTATCTCGAGGTGGTTACCAGCCTCGCCATCATCAGTCCTTGGCCAAAGGAGCGTTACTGATTCGGTGCCGACGAGTCTCAGCAGATACTGATTCATAAAAGAGTCGAGACATCGGTGCAGATGTCTAACGGTCTAACTCTCTTCCAACTACGGCTACGAGTAGTACCCCGCCCAGGATAACTGTTGCTGCAGAGCGCGTATCTTGACAAGTAGAGTCCATCAAAGCATCACCATATCACAGAAAGAAATGCCTGCCAAGTCTATCACCCTTCAAAGTGGTGCGTAACCGTCTATACC